TGATTATTTGGAATTCACCTAAGGATGGTTTTGTGAGACCATTAGTGTTTCGTTTGTAATCATTTGGAACTTATTTGGTTGATAGTAGAATTGGATTTCTATCCCATGGACGTACCTCACATTGAGGGAACCACGTAAAAATTCTTGTGTTGTTTCTGATTAATTTTTCTGCATTAGTTTTTATTCTCATTGATTGATTTACTTGTGGGGAATCACATATTTTCCCTAACAGTCTAGAAGAACTTTCGAGTGAATGCCTTGAAGATCGTTCGGACATGAACAAAAAAACTGTTAAAGTTGTTCTTAAGGTGGACATCTGAGAGAATGCCCAACTCAATGGTAACAATTTGAATTTGATAAAAGATGACAAACTCTCTTTATTTGATGAAAATTTTGGTTTTCTTTATATTTAATATGAATCTAGTGAAAGAGTTGAAGGTGCCAAAATGAGGCGTTTTTTATCAAATTCAAATTTGATAAAACATGGGATATGATACTCTCAATAGGTATACCGTAAGTAGAAAATAGTAGTATAAAAAAATATTTGGTACAAATAAAATAACAAAAAAAAGGATAAAATTATGATTATTTACAATTTTTTTCCTATTAAAATAATCAATGACATTTGAAAAATTATAGTTATACTTAAAAGTCAGTCCATTTTAAATAAATAAATTATACTAGTAAGGGTATCTCCAACAGTTCACCAAATATTTTATCAAATCTGAATAAAAAAGTATAAATTCCTTTATCTAATATCAACCACTCCAATGATACTGTTATCAAAACATAGGTCGACCGGGGAGACGACTGGCTAGACGTCTGGCCGGTCGACCAGCGACTGTAAACCCTTTTATGAGATGGCTATTGGCAATGTGATCTAAGACAAAGCCCTGTTTTCGAAACTCCTCCACCAAAGCATGTACAGTTCTTGTAAACCCTGTACTGTATAGCTTTTCAAGGACATCATGACAAGTATTCAATCTTGTGTGAGGATATGCCACCAGCATGTTGTCAAAAAGCTCGAGTACTTCCTTGAGAAGTCCTTTCTGGCATAGACAATCCCAAAGAGCTTTATAATCCTTTAGCTTGGGTGACCATTTATCTAGATGTGCAACTTCCCAGCAATTAAGGAGCCCTGTCAGGTTTCTTTTCTTGAGTAAAACTAGTTATTAAAGCAATATGTGGCTCTATCTTGATTTTTGTGTGTAAATCCCTTTCACTGAGTGCTTGGACAAGCAGATTGAGAGTTTCTTGATCAAGCTGATCAGTCAACTTTGGTGGTCATCGGGGGTCGACTAGTCAATGTAATTTTTTTCACAAATTTTTCTCTTGAGGTGGTCATTCGAGAGGAGATTCGGCCGGTTGTTCGGTGGATCATCACTCAACGGCTATGCACAGTAAATTGCTGAAAATGTGCAAGATATTCTCAGTTTGGTAAAAATTTTGAAGCGTCCTCAATTTGATATTGTTTTGATAAAACCGTTAGAGACAAAAAAATGTGTCCTTTTTCACTAAATTTAAATTTGGTAATGATTTTGGTGAACCGTTGGAGATGCCCTAACACCTAAGCATGGCCTTGTTTGGCAAAGGGTTTTCTTTTTTTTTTTTGGTTAAAATTTACAAAAAATAAAATAGCTTAAAATAATTAATAAAATAAAATTTCACATTAAATCCATAATCATTTCATTTTTTTTTTCTCATAAACATCACATTTAACTACAAAAAAATCCAATCATATTCTCAAACACAAATATTTTAGCCTACTAAAATAGCTAACATTCCAAACTCAATTCAAATTCAATTTTGGGTGCACTAGAAAAATTGTGTTTTGTTTTATCTTTTTATTTTCTAAGTCATATCATTTCTCTATTTTTTTACATATCTTTTCGTAAAAAATTAAAAAATATACTTATTTAAATTATCTCAAACAAGCCTTTATCCTCCAATTTTTATTTTTATTTTTTATGAAAGGTGCTTAAGTGTCATGCAACAGGTGAATTTTAAAATTTAAAATTAATTAATTTATTTTAAATAATATGATAGATATCACATTAATTAATAATTAATAAAAAATTGTAAATTTAATAATTTATATAGTTTGCCAATGACTGATGGAGACACTAAAGTTAAGATAAAAATAAAATTTTAGAAGATATATATAAAAAGAAAAAAGATAAATTACAAACATATTTTTAAAAATCTACTTAAAATGCAGCCTGTCCTTTATAGTTTTAAAAATTGTAAATATTTTTTGTTAAAATTTTTATATTAACAAAATTAATAGAAAAAATAAAATTTTTAATTGCTCTTTTATATAAATAGTAATGTTACAAAACACATAAATTTTTCTACAAAAAATTGCATAGAATGTTGTTCTGCTTGCTGTAGCATTGCATTCATCTTGGTGTTTGGGCCTACTTTAGAAAAACAAAATCGTGTTCCTAAAGTTACTATTCAAAATTTTTCAATACAGGCCCTACTATTCCGAAGCAAAAAATTTTATAAATATGTCTACTTTTGAGAAGAGGAATTTTATATTTAAAGAAGACAATTGGTTTGAAGCATCCTTTCTCCCTATGAATTTTAATAAATCTATGTGATTTCATAACAAATGACCCCTATTATTAATAAATAATCAAATCAATTAACAAATTTTAATGATATCAAAAATTTATTTCAATTAATAATTCAGGTAATTTTATCAATATATAAGACAACAGTTAAGAATTTTATTTCTTTTAATTAATTTTGTTAAATAAAAAATACTGACAATGAGACATTTAGAATTTTCCAAATCATAAGAAAATTCATATTTTAAGTAAATCTCAAAAGATATATTTGTAATTTACTCTTGAAATTATGATAAAAGAACAAGTAAATTATAAATACACTTTCCGAGATTTAATTAAAATACGAATTGTCCCCTATAGTTCTAGAAGTTTGCATTTGTTCATTGTGATTTCTAATTTCATAACAAATGACTCATTTTATTAATTAATCATTAAATTAATTAATAATTTTTAATGATATCAAAAATATATTTTAATTAATAATTTAAGTAATTTTATTATTGTATAAGACAATAGTTATGATTTTTTTCTTCTAATTAATTCTGTTAAATTAAAAATTCTAATAAAGGAGTATTTGTAATTTTTTCAATTATAGAGTCAATTTATATTTTAAGCAAACTTTATAAGGTGTATATGTAATTTATCCTATAATTTTTTACAAAAGAACGATATTTTTAAAAGAGTTTTTTGTGCATAGTTTTAATTTTAACACAAGAAGAGCAAATGAAAATTTCAATTAGACGAAAATATATTATAATATATTAAATTAAGATATTATTTATTACTGAAAAATCCATATATATGATTTATATGTCATTAAAGTTCAAGGATTGAACTGCGGCGGTTTGGCCCAATAGTTTAATAGTTATATCTTAAAGTGTGATAAGGGAGAGGTCAAAAGTTTAAACCGATGAAGTAGCGATGAACCATTTCAATTATAGTATAACTATTGTAACATACTAATGCTATCTTCGTAAATAAAAAAATAAAAATTTCAAGTACTAAAATTTGGATAGATTTTTAGGCAAAATGAATATATTCTTTACCTTTTAAATTTTCAAAATAAACTTATGACCTGAGTATTGATTAAAATATTAGAGATATATAAATAAAAACCAAAAAAACCAAAAAAGAATGACAAGTAAAATCTAGATATATGAAAAGTAACACACATAACTATTGATATATTTGATATAACAAATGAAATATCATAAATAAAAAAAAAATACGAATATAGAAATTACCGAATAAGATTTAATAAAATTAGATATTTAATGAATATTAAAACATTTTAGTTTATAAAATGGGTAAATTATACTGGCACCTCTAAGGTTTTTATTTAATACAGATTTTTTCTTTACATTTGAAAAATTATACTTACTTTCAAATTAAAATGATATATTTGTCTCTTAATTTTTATACATATAAAATAATAAAATAATGGTGATATTTTATTCATATCATTTTAGGAGAAATAACAATCATCTCCTTTGGATTAACTCACACACAAAATTATTATTATTTTTATTTTTTGTATTTTTTGTATTTTACTGATTTTTAATATTTTAAGCAATTTTTTTTATTTATTTTTTAGATGCACTTAATCTATATATATATATACTTGAGAAATATACTATTTTGGGATTTTTTTTTTTATAAATTCACCAAATACAAAAAATATAAAAATCCAAAAATTCAATAATACTGTAATAAATGTAAATGATGGTGTTTGGTAATACTATAATAAATGTGGGTAAATAGACGTGAAATAAAAATTATGATGAAAATAAAAATGAAAAATTCTATTAATATATAAAAATCTATACAAAAAAATATTATAAAAATATTGTGATAATGATATTATTGTAAATATAAATCATGTTTATGAGTGTTTTGTTTTAAGGTGAAAGGTCACCATTAAGCTATACTATTGTGTTTGAAAATTGTATATAAAATTTATATTTGTATATGACTCAATAAAAATATGTTTAATTAGAATTTAATGATAAAAAATTATAGAATGTAGTCATGATGGTAGAAAAAAGAAATGGCAGAAGAAAAGGCCAAATGATCATTTAGAAAATTTTAAAGCATTCAAGAGGCAATTTATAATGAGATTACAAACTTTAGGGAGGAAATGTAATTTTTTAAACGTGAGAGATGAATTTGTATTAAATAGAAATCTTAAGGGGTGTCAGTGTAATTTATCCTTATAAAATTTATTTGGGTAAATTTAGTTTTAAAAGTAAATTATGAAAAACTTAAAACATGAAAGGTCAAAATAAAAAAATAAAAAAAAAATTTAATATTTAAAATGAAAAAGTGGTCGAAAAAAAAAAGGAAAAAAGAGAGGAGAAAAGTGTAATTTACCCAATTAACATTTTCCCTAGTTTTGTTTGGGAAACCAAACAAACACTGCCTTTCTTCGTCCCCGCCCGCGCTGTATAACAGAATCAAACCGTTCAAAACCTGACGTCTCTCTCTCTCTCTCTCTCTCTCTGTAGAAAACAACAGATAACAGAACACAGAAGAGAGAGAAAGAATCAATCAATCAATTTTCAATGGGGTCTCTCTCTCCTCCTCCTCAATCTTCAGACCTCTCTCTATCCTCCAAACAAACCCTAATCGTCCCAAACGACCTTCTCAACCTCTTCAAATCCCAGCAGAAGTACCTTAATTTCTTCTTCCAACATCTCGATCTCTCCCAAACCCTAGCCTTCACTCAAACCCTCTTGAATTCCCATGGCACCATCTTCTTCTCCGGCGTCGGAAAATCTGGTTTCGTAGCTCGCAAGATCTCCCAAACCCTAGTGTCCCTCGGAATCCGATCTGGGTTTCTCTCCCCTGTCGATGCCCTTCATGGCGACATCGGCATTCTCTCCGACTCCGATGTTCTCGTGATGTTCAGCAAGAGCGGAAACACCGACGAGCTCTTGCGGCTCGTGCCGTGTGCCAAGGCCAAAGGTGCGTACTTGATCTCTGTGACTTCCACGGAGTCGAATTGCTTGATGGATTTGTGCGATTTGAATGTGTATTTGCCTCTGGAGAGGGAATTGTGCCCGTTCGATCTTGCGCCGGTGACATCAACTGCCATTCAGATGGTTTTTGGGGACACTGTGGCAATTGCCCTGATGGGTGCAAGGAATTTGTCTAAGGATGAGTATGCCGCGAATCACCCAGCTGGGCGGATCGGGAAGAGCTTGATTTTCAAGGTGAGATAGTGTTGGTTTGACTGAAATTTGAGAATTATTTGTGTTAATATAATTCTATGAAGAGAGAGAAAAGAGAATAATCTGTATATTGAATCATCATAACGAAACACAAGCACAAGGTCGTTTATATGGTGTACAATAAGTCCTAAATATTGAGGAAGGAATGGTTGGAATGGTAAATCCTAATCTAGGTAGAATATTAGAATAGTAATCATAATCTAGATATAACGCGTATACATTCACAATTTGCATTTGTTACTAGTTTTTGTGTGATTGCGGATTGGATCGGGTGAAAATTTGATAGATCTAGGACTTAATCAAACGCTTCCTTTAATCATTTGATGGTGTTGCAAACTGGTGGGTCTGTCCATTTTGGTTGAGGTAAAGATATATGCACATAATTGGTGCTGAAAAAAAAAAAACTAGAAAATTATTGTGTGGTTCGGATTTAACCAAGGTATTATAGGGCCCACATTTAAAGTGAATCTAAGCCCTACAATGATTTTTCTTGGGATATTTCTGTGCATGGGTTCTCTTGAGAGAGAGAGATTGAATTACTTGAGGGGTGTCATGGGTATGAAACTAGGACAAATAAAGCTTGGTTGAGTTGATATGGATACTATTAGATTATCCTACTGTTGATAATATGATTTTCATCTAGGTTGAGTCTTGTGTCTGTGGAGTATACTTGAAGTCATGTCATTTATGTTTAATGTTGATTGGTAATTGTTTGGTTAATGTACATAAAAGTCAGTTTATTTTTTTCTTTGCTTTTCCTCTACCTTTCTTCGTCACAATAAAGGGGTGACAACATAGCCGATGATAACGTAGATTGATTGATGGATGCTAATTGATCAGTTTTTGGACATTTCTTATTATGATAATAAGGCCCCTTTTGGCAAGTGGATTATAATTCACTTTTCAGATTATAACCCACTTCTTCTCTCACAAAAAAAGGTGCTTATAAGCAGCTTTTAACTAAAAAGCTGATTATAATTATCTTCCCAAAATAGCCCTAACTCATAACCACCAAAAAAAAAAAAAATAAAATAAAAATATTGGCTGGCTTCATTTTTAAATAGTGGATGGAATGGGCAAGGTTAGATTGAAAAATCCACATACCTTGAGTTTATTGAAAAGATTTTCAATTAAATTTTTTCCTTGGTGAACACATGTTACATCTGTCAGGACTGGTGAATCTGGTGGTTCTACATCAAATTTTCAAGAAAGTTTCTCCATTTATTTTCAAGGTACATGTTTACAGTTAAATTATGTGAAGTTGGGACTCCAGTAAATTTTAGTGTGAAAACTGTTCTTTCCTCGGCCAGAACTAGGGAGCATTTGGAGCTGAGGCATGTAATGTGTTTGGAGGCTTGCTAGAATAGAATCTTTGTTCAACACCAATTCTGTGGATTTGTGAATAGTCGATATTGTGTTCTTTGTTCACGGCTCATAATTGATACAACTACAACAAATGGATTAAACTGGAAGGGGAATAAGTGATTTGAATTCTAATATCATGTTCCCAGGAAAATGATTTCTAGAGGAACAAGTGCAATTTAAACCAGTGGTGGAGTTAACTGGAAACTTGTTTTGTTGCTATTGAATGCTGACAAAGCTTTGAGTTGGTGGTTTTTTTTTGTATATAAAGAAAAAAACTTTAGTGGATGGTGTGCACACACGCACCCATACAAAATAGAATAAATAGGGAAAAAATGTGGGTATTGCATTCCAACTATTTGGGTTGGTTGGACTGAATTCTGTGTGTTGCAGGTGAAGGATGTTATGAAAAAGCAAGAGGAACTTCCAGTCTGCAGGGAAGGAGATTTGATAATGGATCAGCTAGTAGAGCTAACCAGTAAAGGATGCGGGTGCCTCCTTGTTATTGATGATAAGTACCACCTTATAGGAACATTTACTGACGGTGATCTGCGGCGCACCCTGAAAGCTAGTGGGGAGGGCATCTTTAAACTCACAGTGGGAGAAATGTGCAACAGGTAATTGTCTCACTTAAGATCTTAGGGGAAAATATTGGTTCTATAGCATATCTAGACTGTAAATTTGACTTGGGTTAAATCACTTTGTTAAAGTTATTTTTGATGCCAATGATTATCAAGATTTGATGCTTCTAGACCGTCTGGTTTGGACTTGTCTGGCAGTTGGCTAAAATCAGAGAGTTCAAACTCGCCAACCATCGTAATGTTTACTTACATGTAATAATAGATGTGAATAAGTTAGAAAATGGAATTCTTTTATGTCAGTCTGCATGACAAATTTTTTTTCGCCAATAACTTGGATGACATTTCAGGAACCCAAGGACACTTGGTCCCGGTGCAATGGCAGTTGAAGCAATGCAGAAGATGGAATCTCCTCCATCCCCTGTTCAGTTCTTGCCTGTCATCGATAGTCAGAACATCTTGATTGGTATTGTTACACTGCATGGATTGGTCTCAGCTGGCTTGTGATTCCATCCTCCATTTTATACAATGGTTGATTATTTGTAATTTTTTCATAGATCCTCCTACAAGGTGGTGTATTTATTCTTTAGATTATTAATTCGGTACTCGTGAAGAATGTCAAGAACTTATTATTTTCTTTGTTGATGTAATGAGTTTCTTGAGCCTCCTATCTTAGAATTTTGTGTTGAAAACACTATTACTTCAAGATTTGCTAATCAAATAGATAAACACAAAATTATTGAACCAGGAAAGTGAAATAAATAGTACGTTTTGTATTACGGGCTATGCTGCTCACTCCAACAATCAGACAACTTGTAATGGTTAGGACCTTGATGGTTTCAATCCTAAAAAATTAGTTTATTGCAATTTTTATGGATTACTTGTAGTTTGTTTTAGCTTTAAATGGACTGCTTATTTTATATATATATATATATATATTAAGATTTTGTGCAAGATTATTTATTGTTTGTAGCTTCTAGTTATGTATTAAAAATAGTTTAAATAATTTTGAAAAAAAACTAATTATTTTAAAATTGGGGAAGATAAACTTTTAAATTATAAGCTTGCTGTGGCTAAAGAAGACTTAAAAGCTTATTTTAGTAACTTTAAAAGGTCATTAAAAAATTAAAAATATATCAATCAAATTAAATTTTATAAGATTGATATTTTTAATTAATAAACTAACTTTTTAACTGACTCTCAAACAAACACTAGGTCAACTCAGAATAAGTTTTTAACTATGCTTTTCAATCCAGTAATCCTCAATTTTTCACATGGAATCTAGCTTTGTTAATAACAGTTTTGGATGAATATAGGGAATTGCTATGAAGTTTCCTTTGATTTGTTTGGTTTCAAATAATTTTCTTTTTAGGCTTGTGTGTGCTACACGCCCTTTACTAAATTAGCGATGATAAGATTGTGACAAATTTATAGCAATAATATTATAATGATCACATTATTTTAATAATTTTGCATATTATTTTATATTTTGTTATTATATTAATTTGACATATTCGATTATATATGTTTGTTATTAATATAATAGTAACATGTTTCCTATATAAAATGTGATAAGATAACGGAATAAACACATTTATGGGCGTATGTTTTGGTGTAAAAATGAGTATGTTATTATCTTTAATATAGATAATGTGATCAATCACGAAATTGAATTTACATAGTTTTCTTACATGAGTGTGTGATCTATAAAATGTTAGTTTAGCGTAACTTTTCTCAAGGTAAAAATTGATACGTTGAAATTTTTTCCTAACTTTCAAATAATTAATTTTTTTATTTATTTAAATTTTTTTTGTTTCTTGAACTATAAACAAAAACTGCACCAAATAAATTGACATAAACTTTTCACATCAAATTTTTTTTTTTTTTTTAAATAACTATATAAATGGTACCAAACAACACTAAAAAAATAAAACTCATTTTATATGAAAAAATAAAATTTATTTTATATGAAAATTGTATTTTATTCTGTCAAACATTTCAATGTTTCTAGACTTTTCTCGTAATATAATTGTGAATTGAAAAATGTGTCACCATAGTCCTCAATTCTACAGTCTCTCTCCTATCCACTTGCACTCAATGCCAAAACCTTTCCCTTTCTCGCAACATGCCCTCTTCCTAGAAATGAAATGACCACTCCTCTCTCTCTCTCTCTGCACAGTCTATAACTTCAGTTGCTTCCCCTTTTGCTGGAAAGAAATTCTGATTCTGAAGATGATGATCTGATCTTCTGTTTACTCTTAAAGCACTTCCCATAAATCACAACAAGTCCACTTTCTCAAGATCTCTCTTTGATTGCACTATGCTTCAATCTCAGGTACTTCCCATCCTAGACAAGCTTCAACAGGAACATTCTATTTTCTATTCTCTTAACTATAGTTTCATATTCATCTTTCTTCACCCACTACATCTTTTTGTCCACCTGAATTCTCTCTCTCTCTCTCTCTCCCTCTCTCTCTCTCTCTCATCACAAATTATATGCATTGAGGCCATTGAGCATTCACCACTTGACTTTATAAGGGTTATAGTCCAATTACATTGATATCTTGAAAGCCATACACACTCTCTTTAGTGCATTGCATCTTTGTACTCACTCCCTATCTTTCTCTCTTCTTCAACAACTAGATCCATCTGAGCTAAAATGTTGCAGAACTTAAAAAGACTGAAGGAGAGTCACCACTATCAGAGTCAGATTCTGATGAAGATTGAGTAAAAAAGCTTAGAAGACCCCAGAAGAAGAAGATAAAGATCCCAACACACGCAGATCTTTGCTTCCATGGATTTTTTCACAGTACCACTACCACCACCAAGCAACATTCCCCACATTCCAAAAATAATCACCACCACCAACACCACCACCACCAACAGCAACCCAAGCATTTCATCAACAAGACTAGTATCAACTTCAGCTTCACCTTCTGTTCCTAGCCGGTACGAGAGCCAGAAGCGCCGCGATTGGAACACCTTTGGGCAGTACTTGAGAAACCACAGGCCTCCACTCCCACTCTCCATGTGTTCTAGTGCTCATGTCCTTCAATTCCTTCGATACCTCGACCAGTTTGGAAAAACCAAAGTCCATAACCAAACATGCCCTTTCTTTGGGGTCCCTAACCCACCTGCACCGTGCCCTTGCCCTCTCAGGCAAGCCTGGGGAAGCCTCGATGCTCTCATAGGCCGCCTTAGAGCGGCCTACGAAGAGCACGGTGGGAAACCCGAGGTGAACCCGTTTGGGGCAAGAGCAGTGAGGCTTTTCTTGCGTGAGGTTCGCGATTTTCAAGCTAAATCTAGAGGGATTAGTTATGAGAAGAAGCGAAAGCGGTCGAAGGAGAAGGTACCACCACTGCAACAACCTCCTGTTGCAACTCAGTGATGTACACTAGTCTGCACCATGGAGTATGGATTTAAGTAAGTTTTTATGTAAGAATTTATTAATTGCACCTAGATGATGGTTTTAAATAAGGGTTACCAGCATCAGACGTTTCAAATTTAGATATGTATATGTATGAGCCGTTATTTAAGAACTTTGACCTAGATGTTCTATATTGGAATTTTTATATCTTCTATATTCTATGCTTAATTTCCATTTTTGATGGACAATTAGAGCGTGTAGAAATGGTCATTTTTTTTTGTGTTTTACTTATTAGGTTTGTTCAAGACCATGACTTGTGGATATGCAATCTCTCCAGTTTGCTGTTATTGGAAACAGTAGGGTTTGGGACTACCAAGAATAGAAATATAGAAATATAAGAAGAGTTTCCAGTGAAGTAGTAACAAATGGCAGGCTATAGTAATAGACATTGTATGCATATAATGTACGGCTATATAATATGTACTTGAAAATTTGTTACATTTTAAACATTTGCAATGGCATTAGTTATCATCTTCATATTCCAAATCTCTCGATTTGGTGTTGAAGAATGTTTGAGAATCCTCTATTCCACTCTTTTCTGTCCTTCCGTCTTAACTTCCGTCTTAAACACTTTCTTTATTTTAAATTCTTTCTTTATTATAGAATTTCTCTCTGATAAAGAAGAGGTTTAGAATAAATATATAAGAGAGAGAGAGAGTAAGACAGAGAATTCGGTCTGATTTCCTTGAAGAATTTACTTCTTACTTCTTGGCAAAAGAGAAGATAACCACAGAGGTCTTATACAAGTTTTATGGTTAAAAATATTTGATATTTGCACCTAAAAGATCTCAAGAGTTAAATTTTATGATCTAGAGGAGGATTTATGAAAGTGGAGACAGTTCCAAACTATGTTCTTTTTTTCTTAGGTGAGGAGGCTGAGTTCCTGTTTGCTAGTGACAGACACAATTCCGTTTTCTAATTCCTTCTTCTACTTCATTTTTTTTTTTTCTTTTTCTAATTCTCTCATTACTTCATGTATGTCCATGTAACCCCCAAAATAAGGTTGAGACTATTAAAAATAATAATTTCTACAATTGAAATAGTTACAAAGTGGTATTATAGTTTTGTTATAAATGTTAGAAAATTATTATGAATAATTATGATGTAGTTTAAAAAAAAATGCATATGTATTTTTTAATATATTACAATTTTCCTGTAGAAGCACAGATAAATGGTGTTGGGGCTTTGATTAGATGTTCCTAAAAGAGGACAAAACATTAGACAAGCTTTAAAAAAGTGAATTATGGAGTAGGTACTGACCCATTAATGATCTAACAATATCTACATCTAGTGAAAAAGACAAAACCTAGATCTAAGTTTTTCATAATATATAGATGATATAGTTAAGGTTAAGTTTGGCAACATCAAAATAATTTATTTTTCTATTTTTTTTATCACATCACCTTTCTATTTTTTTGCACATTTTTTTATAAAAAGACAAAAAGTACACTTATTTAGATCATCCCAAACAAATTTTCCTGTAGAAGCACAGATAAATGGTGTTGGGGCTTTGATTAGATGTTCCTAAAAGAGGACAAAACATTAGACAAGCTTTAAAAAAGTGAATTATGGAGTAGGTACTGACCCATTAATGATCTAACAATATCTACATCTAGTGAAAAAGACAAAACCTAGATCTAAGTTTTTCATAATATATAGATGATATAGCTAAGGTTAAGTTTGACAACATCAAAATAATTTATCTTTTTATTTTTTTTTATCACATCACTTTTCTATTTTTTTGCACATTTCTTCGTAAAAAGACAAAAAGTATACTTATTTAGATCATCCCAAACAACCCCTAAACCTACACAAATGCAAATAAACAATAAAAAACTTTAGGTTACATTTAAATGAATAGATTTAAAATGAATAGATTTAACATTATTCATTCATCAAGTATTGTCCATTGAGCTGTATCCCTTGTATACTCTTTTTGTAGCATTAATGAAATCTTTTTTGTCAAGAAAGAAAAAAGAAAAAACTCACATGTGAGAAGACAAGATCACATTTATATAGGAAATTAATTTAGAGTCATTAATTAGATCACAATTAGAGTCATTAATGAAACACGTTCATTAAAAAAAAAAAATGTTATGCTAGGTATCTCAAATATTCTACCAAACCTCTCACATAAGTATGAGACTCACACACATGAATTTGTATGAGTCGTACCCATGTGAGAGGTTTGGCAGAATATATGGGTTTCATAGTATTTCTCAAAAAGAAATTCATAAAAGGATATCAAATAACTAGATTTATCAAGTTATTTTAAATTCATCCACTTAAAACTCTCATATTCATTGTTATAATTAGGATCTAAACTACCAAACCAAATCAACCACAGTCTTAAGTCTCATCAAATGGAGTCGGATGGATAAATATTTCTTTTCCACTCGATTTTATCCACGTCAATTGGGATCTAAACTACCATTACAAATAATAATAATAATAATAATAAAAATCATTTTCACTACTCATTAGGTTCATATAAAATCATTTAAACATATTTCAAAATTCAATAATGGACTGGAAGAGAGGAAGAGAGAGAGTACTGTACTTAAGTGTAAGTAATATTCATTATGATAATTTTCTCTCATGATGAAAAACCAAGTGTTATGTTCTGCATTTGGTGCTTTCTTGTCCTTTGCTATATGTGAATTCATATCCTTTACTGCTTTTAATTGTAACTTGCACATATATGTGGTTTTCAACAACTTACCTTTTTATTTTACAGGTTTTTATCTATTTTTAATTTTTTTTTTAATATCATTTGATGTTTAATTTTCTATTTTTGCTGACATTACTCAAAGCCTTCTCTCTCTTTCTCTCTCTCTCTCTGTCTCTCTCTCTCTCCATATTGTTTGAATACAATATTCACTTGAAACTAAAATTTTGAAGCCATTATTAGTTGATGAGCTCACTCAAATTTCAATATCCAAAGTAAAATTTCCATACATGATAATGAATTTTCTTTGTTCTCTTAGGGGATTCGTCTCATTGATCACCTTTTTGTGTACTCAATACTATAAAATTTTAGTAAAACAAATTTTAATATTGGTCTTTAACTACTAAAACTGAACTTTCAACTCATTAGGTGCATTTTTTCTTATTGGTGTTATTTAATTTCCTCGAGATGTTCTTCTCTACATATTCTCATTTCACTACAAGAAAAATCACCTTTGGCGATTAAATTTTTAGTCGCCAAAGGTCCATTTTTAGTCGCTAAAAGTCGAGTTTTTGGTTTCCCCGACAAAAATTTTTAGTCGCTGCCTTTGTCGCCAATAAATGGTCGCGGGAGGTATCGGTGACTAAACCTGTTTTAGTCGGCAAAAAGGAGGTCTTTTAGCGACCAATAATTTAGTCGCCAATAGTGTTTTACACTTTTGAAAATCATACGTTTACCGACTAATAATTTAGTCGCCAATACTCGATCAAACGCCGACTAAACCGTTTAGTCGCCAAAATAAAGACTTTTGGCGACTAACTTTTTAGTCGCCGAAGGTGTTTCCGTAAAAAAAAAAAAAATCTCATTTTCTTGCTGTTTCTGAGTTTCAAACCGCAGCCGTCCAACATTCCAAACCTTTAACAACACACTCCCTCCACTATGCCACTACACATCACATGAATATATACGAAATATATATTATTTATATAGTATATTGTCCGATATTAATATAAAACAATATTTATAAATATAATTATTTTTATTCAATATAATTAATGTAAAAAATAAATGATTTATTAAAAAAAAATTTAGGCCACTTTTGGCGACTAAAATATTATCGGCTACTAATTATTTTTTGTCGCTAAAAAATTAAGTTCCGTTTAAAAATAAAGCAGTTTTGGCGACTAAATCTGTTTTTAGTCGCCAAAAATGTCACCTTTTGGCTACTAAACCTGTTTTAGTCGGCAATTGTCAGTTTTTAGCTATTAATTTTTTTTTTGTAGCCAAAAACCTGCACATTCAGCGACTAACCTGTTTTTTAGTCGCCAAAACCATCACTTTTGGCTACTAAATTATTTTAGTCGCCAAAAACTGTGACTTTTGGCTACTAAAAAATCTTTTGTCTCTAAAACCCCTATATTCGGCGACTAAACTGCCTTTTAGTCGCTAAAACCCTTATATTTGGCGACTAAACTCTTTTAGTCGGCAAAAGTGATCAATTTTGGCGATTAATTCAATTTTAGTCGCCAATTGGACTACTTTCAGCGACGAAAACTGCAATTTTAGTCGCGAAAAGTGATTTTTGTTGTAGTGTTTCTTTTCATAACTTCAAAATTTTATCTGTTGATTTCTCTCCATCAAAATAATTTAATTATGCTGAAAATCGTCTTCAGTGATGTTAGGAAGAAATTGTTTGCTCACCTGCGACAAGAGGGCATTCTCTGCCATTGATTCTAGCACAACCAATTCAGTGTCAAAGGACAAAGGAAAGGTGACAAAAGCACTTACTCCAAACTTCAATAGAAGAAACAACAAAAGGAAAATTAGAACATGATGAATTTAAGAAGATAAAAGAGCAGATGTTTTGTGCGTAAAATATTAAGCCATCATAAGAACAAACTTATCAAGCCCTAGAAAACTCAAAAATCTTTTTTTTCTTTTGATCAGTAAAAGAGTCTTTATTGATGAGCACAAAAAGTATTACAAAGTATACATTAATAAAGAAGAAGGCTAGTGCTCAAGTATCATAATCCAATGTGTCAATTCCAACTAGGTTGACACCCACACACGAGCTCGATCATTTGCTAGTACAATGCCGAGATTGGTAAGGCACCAACCAACTACCAAGAAATAACCAAAACAGGAAAACTAAAACAAACAAGTAAAATACATCTAAAGCCAATTACACTAACAAAATAGACCATACCGGCAACAGAGCAACACCAAACCACTGAAGCAATAACCACCAACAATCATTCTGCAATTCATCAAAACCCTTTATCTCAAATAGTATCTGACCTGTTTAAGATTAGCCACAAAATCATGTACTGAGTAATAAACCCTCCCAACTGCTCTTCACCTACAGTGCCACTCTTGTTTTGATCACTTCAAGCATCTCATCAACCACCAAAATCATACCCTTAAACAACACCTCATTTATCATTTTCCACACAAACTACATCAGAATCAAAGGCATAACCTTCCATATCTACCTCTCCCTTTTCTTTATCTTCACTCCATTCCACCATTGCAACACCTCAACCACTGATCCTGGTATTGACCACCATAGATCCCACCACTTTATTACACTAGATCAGATCAACCAAACCTTTGGGCAGTGAAAAAGAATATGGTTTAGAGACTCTGGTTCATTTCTACAAAACAGACACAAAGTGCTAGTATTATCATTTAAAACTCCAATTCTCTGTAAGAAATCAGATGTTCTAATTTACCAAGCCAAGCTAACCAACATAAGAACTTCACCT